CAAGAAGCTGGAGCCCCAGAACAAGAGGGACCAGTGGTGCAGCCCCAGCCCAGGACTGAATGTCTGGAAAGTCCCTGGAAAGTCACTAGCCAGAGTCCTTCTGTGGAAGGGGGAAGGAGGTGGAGTCTGATGTCCTCAGGAACTCACAGCAGCAATCTAAGTGTCTGCTCAAGAAAAATCAAGTTTGTGCCTGCTGCTGCTTCCTCCTTTTCCCACAGCTTTGTTCCACCAGGCCCCCAACCTACTGGACTGTGCTGCCCATATTAGGTGATTCTTCCTCTCAGTATGCTGTCCCACCAGGCAGTCATTCCTAGAAACACCCCTCTTGACACACCCACAGCCTCTTCTTAATCTTAGGCATTTCTTAATCCAATCAGGTCGACAATTCCCACCACAGGCTAAAAATGTCCATGTCCATCTTTTGATATAATCTAGCCTCAGACATTTCAATACAGTGAAAAATAACTGTCTTTATTTTTTAGAGGCAATTCACGATGTGCAGGTTCAATATTTTATTTCAAAGTCTACACTTAAGCTTCTCAAACTTTATTTGTTTATAAATCACTGGAGGGAGGACCTTGTTATAGTGCAAATTTGGCTTCAGTAGATATGGGATGGGGCTGAGATTTTGAATTTTTGATTTTTCCCAAGTGATGCTTATAATGCTGGTTTATGTATCAAACTTTGAGTATAAAGGTTATATAGTTATGCCAGTTAAGCAAAAAATGTGACACCAGATTGATTTCTACTATAGTGTATCTATTTAAAAGACAATAATGCTGGATTACCTGTATTATATGTTTACTTATATCAGCTTTGGAATTATAATGGATGTACTAAAACATAAATGAAGGGGAAAAGTATTTCAGTAAAGCATGTAGGAATGAATTAATATAGAAATGTATATCTTATCCTAGTGTCATTGTGAGTTTGTATTCAGGAACATTCAACAATTTATAACAGAATGACAGTGACCCATATTATATTTTATTCTAATAGTTTATAAAAGTTATTTCACATTAATGATTATTAGATTCTTTTTTATTAATTTTTTATATATGACAGCAGAATGCATTACTATTCTTATTACACATGGGTCTTTCACACATATAGAACACAATTTCTCATATCTCTTGTTGTATACAAAGAATATTCACACTAATTCGTGTCTTCATACAGATACTTTGGATAATGATTTCCATCACATTCCACTGTCATTTCTAATCCTCTACCCCCTCTCTTCCCCTCCCACCCCTCTGCCCTATCTAGAGTTCCTCTGATCCTCCAATATTCCCCCTTCCTACCCCATTTTGAATCATCCTCCTTATATCAGAGAAAACATTCGGCATTTATTTTCTTTGGGATTGGCTAACTTCACTTAGCATTAGATTCTTTTCTTTTTTCTTTTTCTTTTTTTTTTTTTAAGAGAGAGAGAGAGGAGAGAGTTTTAATATTTTTTGTTTTTAGTTTTCGGTGAACACAACATCTTTATTTTATTTTTATGTGGTGCTGAGGATCGAACCCAGCGACCCATGCATGCCAGGTGAGCACACTACAGCTCAGCATTAGATTCTTAATCATATACTTAGAGCAGGGGATCATTTTGTGGTTTCAAAGAAGAAGGCATTGGGTTTTGGATGTGTTTTAAAATTGGTTATATGTGCTAATCTCATAATTTTGAAGTAGGTATAATTAATAAAGTAATACGTATATAATTTCTTTTCCAAAATTATGAGTTGTATATTAGAATAATCGACCTATGGAAGGAAGTTTTCGATGGAGTATGAGTTGTGGAAAGATTATTTTGCCACACTGACATTCTGACTTGCAATCTTCTTTTCTTCTTGGCCATATTTATATGATGTATGTTCTAGTCTATTGTATTTAGAGGGAAAAACAGGGTTTACTATTTGTAGATGATGCCTATGGCAAATATATAAGAATCAGTATTTCTTAAAAAATATTTTGACAAATGAACTCTACATATTTTTAGTAATATTTTTATCATCTTAAAATTAATAAGGCATTAATCAGAATATGATGAAGTGATATTTATCTTTTTAAAAATCAACAAGCCTGCTTTTTCTACTTTAAAATAGCTATTTTTTTTCTAAATTCAGGAAGTGACTTATTTGTTAAAAATGTATGTACAGACCTTGTAAGACTTTACCTCAAGTCATGTCAATGATTTTATAAAACAGTAAATTTAAAATATGTATTGATTTTTCCAGTTTCAAATTATAATTGAAAATTGTGAATATATAGAAAATATAGTAACTGAAAGATAAGAAATTGTTCTTAGAATGTATTTTTTCAAAGACCACATTTATGTTCATATTTCTTTAACATTTTTCACAATCATAACCTATTTATATTATTTTCTGTGACCATTTGCAGCTTTAGTACCAGTGTTTTACTCAATAATCCACAGGCTACTTCTGGATGACAAATGAAAACATAGTACATACCACATTTTATAAAGTCCCCTTTCCCCTCTGATTACTCATGCAGCCATTTGGAAGTGTTTATACTTACCACTAGGAACCTCTTCTAAGTGTTTCACTTCCCAAAGGCAGGTAACTGCAGGTGTTTCTCACGCAGGTGTTTGCCTATGGAAAATCACTGCCAGTGAATGCAAAGCACAGCAGTTCTAGCAGCAAAAAGTAACCCAAAGTGCTTTTTGTCAGGTGAATTTTAAGCCATAGGATATCCACACTAAAAATGCAAATTAAATACTGAACTTTCAAATTGGAAACCAGGAATACAAACAAAAGATACTGGTTTGGTCAAAATTGAACAACAAAAAAAATATTATCTAAAATGATAATATGAAGAATTGCCAAAAGAAGGCATTCTGATAAAGGTTAATACAGAATCAAGTATTGGGGGATTATTTGATTCACTGCATTCTACAGTCATATTTGTCTACATATTATGATACAACATAATGCTGACCTACATTTCTTTCTATTTTTTAGTAGAAATAGTGATGATCATTCATTTTATTTTTTAAATATAAAACCCTTAACTGGAAGATGTACATAAATCAGGACAGTGCTTTTATGGACATGATGGCACTTTAAGGGGCAGAAAGTGTGATACTAGTACCGGGAAGTGAAAGAAAAGATTGACAGACTTTGAGAACAGTTATAAAGTATCTGAGAAAATTCAGATAATTTCTTGATATTTGGAGTTAATAGATGAATTATCCAGCTAGTATTTGGGTGATCTTATGATTAATATTCCAGAAAGTAACCTTTAAACTGATGCCTTCTTCTGCATCCCCCAGATTTGAGTTACCAAATGCATTTTGCTGAGATACAAAATTCCATCTGGTAGAAAAAAAAAAAAAAAAGAAAGGACTTTCTGAGACATTTGGGTTAAATTCTCATTTGAAGAAAAGATGATATATATAATATACATGATAATATAAATACATAATAATATGTATAATAATATATACATATATTATACGTATACCATATACCCTTCTATATCTAATTGAGCTGTTGGTAAAAGATAACACTGGCTGACACATCATGCAATATATAGACCATTTTTAGCTAAGGATGCAATGAGTGTCTTTGTATTTTAATATCTGTTCAAAGTTACATCTATTTTAACTACTAATTCAAGAGAACTGATCACTTAAAATGAGGTTTACAGTTTTAAAATAAGAACAGGGATGAGGTATCAAAGGGGACATGTTTTTAGAGTAGAAATAAATGTAAAAACAATGCAGGCTATAAAATATTCAACATATGTAAAATCTATTTCTGCTCTGTAACCTTAGGTGAAAATTTCACAAGTGACCCTGATAAGAGATGCTGTTTATCTTTGTATTTTTCTTATATTCTTTTTGTGTTCTACAAAGCCAAAATACTTTACAGATTTCTTTAACATTGACTTTAAGTATTACCAGTTAGTACCTTCAGAGATTTGCAAGACAATGATGTCAATAGTATTTTAGTGAAAGTGAGACAGGTTCTCTAATGTTCCTAATGAAATACTCAATTTCAGATTTCCTATAGAGAAGTTGCTGCTATCAGTTAATCATTAAAATAGGCCTCTGTTCTAACTTGTTCAGTTATAAGCACTTTAGGAATGAAAATGTTTAAAATTCTTTTTAGTTTGAGAATACAGTGAGTTCTGAAACACAGCATAGTTTTAATTAAATATGATCTCTTTTGCCAGTCCTTTATTTGGCTTTTGGACCTTCTTGTATTCTTCCTTAACCTCACTATAAAAAATCATGTATTTTATTTTGTGTTAAACAAAAATTAAGGAAGGCCATTGTTTTAGACTGAGCACTTAGACTTGGCCCCCAGAGACCAGACTGAATCAAAATGGAGCTAATCATACTAAATGCTAAATAATCCAGACTGGGGCATTAAGGAAGCAGATAAATCCCAAACAAATTTTTTTCCCAGACAGAAATGATTCCAGTCTGTCTAAATCAGTGTAATGAGGAAGTCTCCTATGCTTTAAACTTTACAGAAAAGTAACCTGAAACAACTGGTCAAATGATTAAATGTTGCTATTGTTTTTTTTCATTTGTCTATTTCCTTTGATCTACCTTACAAAACCCACTCTTCTATCATTACCTGTTGAGAGATTTTATTCTATTTGGTAAAATGGTTGCTGTTCTAATTCATCGAATTGGGAAGAAAATCCAGTTAGATTTTTGACTAAGTTTGTTTAATTTTGTCTTTGACTTAATAAATTCTAGTTTTTTTTTTTAAATTGGAGAATGGTTATAATAATCAAGATTTGCATGATAAGTATACTTATAAATACTAAGATTTCATTATTTGGGGGCAATTTTAGTCAAAAGAGCTTGGAAATGTATGTATGCACACTAACCCACATCTAAATACATTGATAGTAGTTCTGTATATCTATGTTTAAATAAATATAGTGTTCATTAATTTTATATGTCAATTTATAAGCCACAGAATACTCAGATTAAATGTTTTTTTTTTCTGTGATTGTAATTTCAGATGAGGTTAGCTCTTGAATCAGTGGAATTCAGTAAAGTAGATTTATTTCCCCAATGTTGCTGGGCATTATCCAATCTATTGAGGGCCTGCAAAGAACAAACAGAGAAAGGTAAAATTAGTATTTTTTTCTTTTGATTTTTTTCTTCCTGTCTTTTTTCTTTTTCATTTCTTTCCTATTTTTTTCTTTTTGCCTGTTTTTACTGCTCAAACTAGGACACTTCATCTTATTTTCTCTTGCTCTAGAAATCTACAACATTGTTTTCCCCAGTTGCACATCTTTAAATACTAAGAAGGAGCTGCACTAATAGGTTTCATGGATTTCCAGCTTCCAGACAACTCAGCTGATCATGAGACGTTTTAGACTCCACAAGGGCATGGTAAATTCATATATCTATATTTGCACTTGTATTTATAACACTGTTTTAGTCCCCTTTCTGTCACCATGATCAAATCTGAGTAAAACAGGGAAGGAAAGCTTGATTTATTTGGCTCATGGTTTCAGTCCATGGCCACTTGGCCCCACTGCCTGGGGCCTGACATTCTTGTCCTTGTGGAGAGCACGTGGTGGAAGACCGCTCACCCCATGGCAGTCAGAAAGTAAAGAAGCACAGAAACACAGAAAAAGAGGAAAGGGGCTGGAGCAAGATGCAACCTTCGAAATCTCACCACCAAACACCTATTTCCTCCAACTAGGCCCAACTCCTGAGGTTTCCACTTCCTCCCAATAACCCCTTAAATTATGAATTTCTCAATGGATTAATCCCTTGATAAAGGAACGCCATCATGAGGCCAATCACCTTCCAACTCCGCCAACCCCCAATCCCTTCCCATGAACATTTCTGCCTTGGAAGACAAACCTTCAACACATGAGATTTGGGACACGTTTCAAACCTAAAATATAACACACACACACACACACACACACACACACACATTCAAAATATAAATAATGAATATTTATAGTAGTTATTCTTAACAGTTGTAGCTTGTTTCTCTTGAGTTTCATAGGTCATGGGTACCTCCCTGACCCTGCCCTTGTGAGGCAGTTGTGCCATGCACCAGTTACAAATCTCAGGAGAGAGCTCTATTCTAGGATCCTAAGCCAGCAGGACTTTGCATCAGCCCCATTTGCTGCTGTGTATTTATGTTCAATTTGCATCCTATTTGATTTTTTGGTCTCTTTTTGAGAACTTCTGCAACTTTAGAAAGTCCATCTGTACTCTAGGCTAAAAAGGAAAACTGTAAGTGTACATGTACTGAAACAACTTCTTGGTTGGAGGTTGATGTTTCTGTTTCATATCCAGAACTTCATCCATTTGTTATTTTTATTATGTTTATAGCAGCCTGTTTTTTAGCATTGTTTTTAGAAAGCAGTTTTGTTTTTTTATTCCAGGATGAAAACTGATATTGAATATTGCTCTGTATAAGTACAGGAAGCTCAAATGAACAACTGGCCCAACTGCAACAAATATATATTTTTTCAATTAATAGGAGTAAAATTGCCCAGTAACACTCCTGCCCATTGTATTTGTTTTATTCTAACAGTGAGATTGTTTTGGCTATTGTTTAACCAACTTACTATATCTTTCAGTAACTTTCTGCTACTAGCAACTTTACTAGAGCTCCTATGATATTTTTGTTTTGAGATGTTTTATCTGTGAAGGGAAGGGAGATGAATATTCCATAAACTATCTTGATCTAACACATCCAGAACTTTGTATTTCTGCACATACACACATTTATAACTGTCATCACAAACACAAATATCTACAAAATCAGTCAAATTAATAAAATTGGTGAAGAATGTTCACTGCAGACTTTGACATTTAAGCCACGTCCTTGTGTATCATTTGTTGGGCTGAGGTCAAGAATATAGATTAAGGTTCCCAAACCATATGTTCAAATATTTTTAATTTTCAAATCAAATTCAAAAAATATTTTTAAGTCTTTTGAATTTAAAGAAAAATATGTTGTGTTCTAGTTTTCAAATAAACTTATGAGACTCAGCCAAGCTCCAAGTTTACATTTAACTTTTACCTGGTGTTTAGGGCACAGAAGCTAAGAAATGAAAGATGGCAACCAGCCTTCTGCTTAAACCTTCTTCTCTTCCTACAATAATCACTGTGGGCCCTTTTAACATAAGTGCATGTACACAGAGCTTGAATATCTATGGGCCAGGGTAGTATAGGCCACCCTCACAGGTTCCCAAATGACAAAAGTTGAGAAACCTATGGCTCTTGTCATGTAAATTCAAAATAGAAACATTATTAAAGTGTGCATATCCATTAGGGACTGCCTTACATGGAATCTGATGAGCCCAGTTAAAAGCTCCAAGTCACATGTGAGAAAGCAATACCACAGTCAAGATGATGAATATATTTCTCAACCAAAGGAGACTTTATTTGGATCATTTTGAAGTCTTTATTCCTCTTCTTTCCCACCCTTACACACATCTCCAGGGAATCACTGTCATACTAGATTAGTTTACCCTAACTCTACAGATGGGAAAACCAGGGTGTGATGATTACCTATTTCCAAAACTAATAGAAGACGTAGTTATATCCATTTGTCACCATGTTAGAGGGGCTGGCAAGAGATCCTTCTAACTTTCTTTTTTAAAGCTTAAAAAGCAGTTTATTCATTTCTCTTTAGTCCTTAGTGTTACAGAGAACTATAAGACAACATGCCATAAAACACATTTCATATTATAGTCAAGTGATATATGAGCCCAAGTGTTGACCACTGAGTCAATGTTTTTTAAAAATTTTTTAAATTTATTTTATTTTTTTAAATACACAACAGCGGAATGCATTATAATTCTTATTACATATATAGAGCACACTTTTTCAGATCTTTGTATATACAGTATGTTCACATCAATTCATGTCTTTATACATGTACTTTGTTTTTTTTGCATTACAATTCTTATTACACACATATATATACATATATATATATATATATATCACAATTTTTTTAATGCTAAGCGAAGTTAGCCAATCCCCCCCCAAAAAATGCCGAATGTTTTCTCTGATATAAGGAGCCAATGGTTAATAATCTTAAAGAATCATTCTCTAAGAGGCAACAATTTCAGAGAAGCCACAATAACTAGAAATACTTGAAATAATTTAAGAATACATAGTGTTATATAAGCACATACATATAATTTTTAATCAAGTATAACATGGTCACACAAAAATGTTGACTGGCAATATAGTTCACACATATAAAAAGAAGCTACTTTATTTTTGTCCCTTTTGTATCCTAAACAAAATGATGAAACCCCCCAAATAACAGGAATTCACTAGTTATAAAAACTGGATATTTTATAAATGAAACAGATCCAATCATCTATACCTTCTCTCAAATTCCAAACAATGAGGCTTACTGTACTCTCAGAATGGACTTATATAAATTTTGCTCAATTTTAATGGAAATATACATTTTCAGTGGTTGATACTCCAGGTGGAAAAGGTACATAAAATGATTTATAAGTGAAAATATTTCATACAAAGGAAGTGGTTTTAGCAAAACCCATACAATATCAAGAGAAAATGCATTGAATTTAAAAATATCTGAAGCAGGCATCTTTTTAGACCATTGCAGAAAATACCAAAAAGTTTGGAACTGTCATACAATAAAAATTTATCCAAATGAAGGTTAGGGGTAAAAAACTATTAAATGTATTAAAACCATCGAAAGCCAAATAAGATAAAACTAAACTATATAATTTAAATTATATTATAATATATCATATTATATAAACATAATATATAATACATAATGATATTATTTATATTAATACCATGTTGATATTAATATAATATATAATATTGAAGCCAATATTAAGAACAGCGTAGATAGATGAATCAGGCCAGATTGAAGAAAACAGACCAAACCAGTTTAGGTCCAAAGGTTGGAAACTGTGCCCTTAAGAGATTGAAATGTTAATGTCCCCAAAGCTGGGCCTATACTACACTCATCCTAAAGAATTGTTAATGAAGCAACTCCTGGGTAGGTGGAAACTGCTAATTAATTCACCCTGGGCCCCCTTCCTGCCTGAAACACTCCACCTTGACCCCTCCAGCCCATCTGCTTCTCATCTTTTGGCCATCCCACTGA